ACTGCTTTGTCGGTTGTAATACTCCGTAGAGCTCATTCCTCCAATATGGTATTTGTCTACATACATAAATTAGAGTATTTAATCGTCATTGTCAGTTGAAAGTTTAATAAAAAAAATAATAAAAGTAAAAGTAAGAACCTCTTGTCGTGCGGTAAACAAACTTTTGTTCTTCATTACGTTCGTTTTATTTTTTCTTGCTAATGTTGTTTATGGGTTGCTGTACTTTATGGAAAACGGTAATTGTTGCACGTCAAGAAAGCAACAGCATTTTTCTGACAATGCGCTGAAACTCTTTGAGTCACAGCGCTTTGCTCATACATATGCCTTTTCGAGAGGCCAGTAGGGTAAAATTAAATTGATTTGATACATTTGCACTTCGCAGATGTTGATCTCAAGCCAAGATCCCAAAGGTCTTCGTTTGGTGTCCATCATTTTTCAAGCAGGCGATTTGCTCCTTATGCAGCTTTCGAAAATTGATAGCCTCAGGTGTTTTCCAGTTTTCTTCAAGCTGTAACTGAGTCCAATTTCGTTTCGATGGCTATAGATCTGCTAAAGAAAGCACGATGTTGTTGATGCCCGCGTATCCTCTCCCGAGTTTACGGCATTCCTTCTTTTCGCGGTAATGATTATAAATGAACGACCCTTATTTATATATTGATTTAAGACGCTCTGCTAAGAAGCCATCATTGAGATCAGTAGATATTCTCGCAAGGCAACATGGAAGACATACGAGCATACAATTACGCACAATTTTCATTTTGTTTATCAGGTGCGTAATATGTAGACGACATTAAGCATTTAAGCGTCAACTTAATTTCGGAGGGCCGCACACAACCACGCACCAGATATATACATATGTATGTGTGCGTACATATGGACATATGTATATGCGTTGCGAAATAGGTTTGCAACTTGAGCTCCGCCAGTCCTCAAGGTGAAGGTAATAACGATTCCTTTTATCTGCATTCCCGCAATGGCTTTTAATTATTCGTAATAAATGGCGAAAAGCTCAAGCATAGCTATTTGAAACTTTTTAATAGCGAGTACTTAACGGTACGATGTACATATGCAACATTGCTGGCGTAAAGGAGCTCAACGCTTCCATTACTGTCCATGTTATGCAAGTACATTTCTCTGCGGGCATAAATAGTCCGTCCATATATCTCTTTACCATTCATGCTCCTTTTATTTCGTTGTAAATCACGCTTTCAGGTAAAATTTCTCTTTTGAAATATTTCGAATTGATTTATTGGCCAGTTGGTGGAAGGACGGCGGGGTGCACAACATGTTGCACAAATTGGCCTCAACGATGTGCAATCAACAGTTAATTCGCACATAACGGTTATTTTTGTTTGTATACCGCAGCAGATAAATAATGCTGGTACCCGCATAGGTGTGTATGTGTTGTCGTAGATATGTATGCGTAAATGCATTGGAATGAGGAAAATATTTTGATTTCTTGTGCGCGCATTTGATCTATATTCATATGTATGGACATATGTATATACGTATGCATATTTGCACACCAGCAACTTGGCAAATTAACGCTGTAATATATAATATAAATAAACTGAAAATGATTAACATGGCTGGAACCGGTTTTATCCGCCCACGTAAGTGCAGTGGTTATAGTATTTATTGTATGCAGCAAATTTTTGTGATCTACCTGATTTACGAATTGTACCAAGTATCCGATCGACAAAAAAATCTGTTACTGACAGACTGTTACGAACAAGAACACAAATGGCATTCGAGCACGGGCAACACGGTCCGTTCGTCTTTTCTCGTCGTCTCCTCGACTACAAAATACCGGTTTGGGCGACAAAACAGTCCGTGTGTGAACACGTGTTAGCCTACACTTTCTAAAGCACATATTTAAGTACTATGTATGTTACGTATGTACATACAACTGAAGAATTATGACACCAAATTGTGCAGGTCATACTGATATGCTTTTATTTCTAATGGTTAAATTAAACCTGCGATGTTAATTATTTAGCTCTTTTTCTAATTTTTTTGCTTTGTCATGTATTTGCTCTTTAACATAATATATTCAAATTCCATATTAATATTAATAATCGTAAACGACATTTCCGAACGTTTCCTTGTAACTAAATATTTCGTTTCTATTGCTTTGAGTCACCCTGCGTTATCAGTTTTAGCGTTCCAGCATATCAGCGGCATTTTGCAACATTGTTAACTGTCTTCTTCTAGTTGGATGGTTTGTTGTATTTATTTCTTATTGAGCATTATATGAGTGTAGTCGATCAATTAAATTGTATTGGTACTACCGCGTGGATTGAGTTGTAATTTTAATTATTAAAAAGCTAAATAACCGCTTATTGTAAGGAGGTGATTGTGCAGCAATTTTTTGTAAACAACAAAATATTCTTTGAGTGTATCCCTTCAATAGGGACAAGTGAGAACGGTGTCAAGTGTGTGTGTGTCACAGCGTTTACGTTCACGCCCAAACGAAAAAAGTGGCATATTTTTATTAAAATTAATTGAAGTAATTGAGCTTTAAAACGAAAATATCAATTAAACTCAATTTAAGTGAAAGGTTAAATTCATTAAACATTTTCGAGTGAAATATTTATAATTTCTGAAGGACATCTGAGATATGGAGGTGAGTGAAGAACTTCAAAATTTTGACGTTAAGAAAGCTGTATCTCAGCTCAGTTGGTTGTTGGAGTTTTAAATGCCAAAATATTTCAGAGTGTTAATGTTATTTTACTATATATAAATATATGTATATGGTATATATTATAAAATACTTGTATTTTAATTAATGTGAAAAATTTGAAATATGAGTATATACCAGCAAAAAACACTTGGCGACAGTCTGGTCAGAAAAAAGTCAATGTTCCTTGCTTGCTGTTGTTGCGATTACGTCAGTTCACAATGATTTGCAACCGCTATTGCTATCTTCTTTCCACGCACCACAGCATAGGGGAGCTACACAAATGTTTGTTGCTTGCCATTGCTCTTCTTGTGGAGTTGCGCCGTGTCTCTGTTTTCGCATATCACCGGTGCTGTTTCACTGCTTGAAATTCCAAGCTCCACGATAACAACACTTGGTTGATGGTTGATGCTATACATAGTGGTGCTGAATGTGCATGCTACATGTTATGTATGGAGGTCATAATCGATTTTGTTACGAAGATCACTGCGTGCAGAGTGGTGTGAAGTTGGCACAGCAAAAGGTGTCATCATCAATATTTTCATTGTTTTGCTCGTCATCAATTAAATCCTCACATCTATCTTATGGTTTCTATCTATCTTTATGGGTTTCACTCCATGGTACTGTTATTTAGACTTTTGCTTTTACCTACTACAGTGTACATTTTAGCGTAGCAAAGAAATAAAGACAGAAAACAGTCGAATATGCTTAATTGCCGGCTTGAGGGCTTAAACCACGGTTGACGCATACCATATATTACATATTCATATGTATAATTGAATGTAGCTACGTACTCCCTGCTCAGTTTGGCGTTTTTGTGTCATCATTACTTAATAGCTTCACGTTATTGTTTCTTCTTTAGTAAGCAAGTTTATTTAAGTTGTATTTTGCGATTGTTTATTTTGACTTTGTTTTACAAATACATACATATTTACATGCGTGAATAGTTTATTGGTATTATACAATTTTCGAAACCACTTTCATTCATAAGAAATGCAAATTGATTTACAAATTGTTGGTGTACAATTTTCTACACTTATGCAATTATTCAAGCTATATTGTAAAATGTGGGAAAGGTTCAACGTATTATTCCGAACATCTTTGCCTAAGAGAATAACGGGTTAAAACCGGTTTCGAGCCAGCAATTTTTAATTGAAGATTTTTATTTCGGCATAATAAAAATTTCTTCGTCAGTTCTTGAAATATCCGTAAGAAATTTAATACATCGCTGCACTTGAGATTCTATTGGTCTCTTTAAATGTTATTTTATCTTCCGAAAATCCTTTCTGCAATTGACCGTCACAATAATATGTACATATGTATATGGAACTTTAGCTAGACTCTCATTTCCATATCTTTATACGAAATTGTTTTCTTGCAATTTTTTTTCAAGTAATTAACAAATGTAATTGTGCGAACGCGGTTTTCTGACGGGCGCTCGCAATTTATTGCCAATGCGATTAAGTCGTGATTAATTACATATGTAAATGTATGTATGTATGTACCTGGCCCATGGTAGGGCCATAATCGAAAAAGCGTGGTAGCCGCCCTATCGCCAAGTGTACCTGTTTTAAGTATTTACGCTGTGACGCCCCGATGTCAATCAACTCGATGCTTGTGGATAATGTAATATGTATGTACATATACAAATATGTGGGAAAGTGGTAGATTTTGTGATGGGGGACTATAGAGACACGGTAGTTAAAAAGCACGATGTAGTACATACTCGCACATACTGATTGAACAATGCAATTCACTGTTTCGTTGAATATATAATTGTTCTATACATGCATATAATCATAAAAAAGCTTTTAGTATATAGCCGCCGAAATATAATCATATATGATAAGATAAACCATTTCGTTCAAAATTATTTTATTTTAAGAAGTACCTAGTTAACCAAATTGTTCAAGCTTTTTGAAAAAATTAATAAAAAATATTTACTCAAGATTCTGAATGCAATTCTACATAAAAGTTCAAAATATTTTCATTATTCATATTAACAAACATTTTCCAGTACATGTTATATACATACATACATATATGCTTGAAATGATATGATATGATTAAAAGCTCTTAGGAATCTGATTTAAGTAAAGCCAACTGATTATTTTATGAAAGTATAGTATAGCTATATAATTGGCATCTGATATTTGCTCGATATACGAAAAATATTCGACAGACCATCGCACGCTTTTTCACAATAATACGTGTATTTTTCGGTCAATATTTCTCTCAGTTTATATAAAGAATTATGTTTCACTTTTTAGTTTGAAATGCGTTAAAAGCGTGTTTCATAGTTATTTTTAAATTATATTTATTTACTTTTGTCACAGAAATTGTGAATGTTATTTATTTCGTTTAGAAATTTATAAGTATACATTTTTATTCATACTGGGGAACTTTTTAATAATTCTTTTTTTCATTTTCTTTTCAGGTAAGATGAATTTGATAATGCCTTAAATATTTGCAGTCTACTATACCATTTATATATTATTAAATATGGTTATTACATCAGTGATAAAGTCGTCCACATATTGTTGACTAAGGGTGACCAATAAGGGTTGCTTCAAGACCTAAAAGTATAATTTAATATTAGCCATAATCAATTTGATTATATTATGTATGCTAAGTAAGTATAAAATATGTTATAACATAAAGTAATAAAACAATTCAAGAATATACATATGTAGTCCAAAATATGCTTGATCAACACACTCTCATCACGATGGATTTTCTCTGCTTTTTAGAATATGCGATATGATTTATTTTTCATCGCGCCAAAAAAATTTAAATCCTTAAATATCTCTTGAGAAGTCTTTTGAGCGCAGTTAAACAACAAAACTACAATTGATGCATTCATAGGAAGTCTTCACAATAATCGTATAACTAGGCTAAATGTTTTCGTGCTCACGCGTGCAACAATTTTTATACTTGTAAAATCGAGAAAAAATACTTTCGTGCCGTTCCACACGATTATGAATAGCAATACATGCTTTGGTTCGAAAATAATCCCATCAAGCTATTATGCTTACATTTTAAAGACTTCTGTAATCGTTGTTAATATGCGCCGTTTTTTTTTTGTTACACACAACACTTTATCACGTAAAGTTTGCCTCTGTGTTTTCCACACAAAGCCTTCGCAACGTGAAAACCCATAACACGCCCAAAACAGGCGTCGTTCGGTGTGCTGCATGCCTCAGCGGCGGTTGCATAGCATTTTGCGCAGCCATGCAAGTCACCATTGCCGCCGCCAGCAACAAAAACAACAGCCAGTCATTGTAAAAGTGCTCATATTTGATGAATTACTGTTTGAACTGACAATCATTGTAAGGTGTTGAAATTAATGGCAGCTCTCAGGCACGGTTGCAGCAAGCATTTCATTGTTCATTGATTTATACACTTGTGCGTGCATACAACACAAACATAAGCATGCAAGTGTTCATTTTTTTTACCGCTAATGCAAGTAATTTATGCTTTCCATTTTTAGTGAGACATTTGAACTATTGTCAAGTCGTTATTTATTTTGTGACTAATTAAAATAGCTTGAAAAAGTTGTATAAATGCCGTTTCTCTAACTGTTGCTTGTTGAAACATAGATATGTTTGAAAACTAGTGATTAACCATGTTAGAAATTATTATGGAGAAATACCAAAGAAATTCAATGCAACTTTGTCAAGCAGCAACTTTGTTAAGCTTATTTACTTAAAATAATGTTAGTATGCACGAAATGCTTGGAAAAGAGCTTAATTACATTATGAGAAATAAAAACTCATAAACGCGTCAAACAATGACTTTTTTCTATAGATAGATAGTTGCTCGAAACACAGCTCAAATATGTACATATAATGCTAATATTAACTTTCCTCAAATTATTATTATACCGTTAACAGAAGAAAACGTTGGAGACCATGTAAAGTGTATATAAAACTGATTAGTGTGATGAGCTGAGTCGATTGACCCATGTCCGTATGTATGTCTATATGACAACTAGTCCCTCAGTTTTTAAGATATCGTGTTGAAATTTTGCGCACGTGTTTTGTCCCATGAAGCTGCTCATTACTCGGAAGCGCCGATATCGGACCACTTTAGCATACATACATATGTATATAGCTGTATACATGTATAGTAGGGTAGAGCGGAAATTTTTTTTTTTTTTTTTTGCTTAGCCTGGGGGTAAAATTTGTAGATTTGTTATTTGTCGATTAACTCAAAAAGTAATTATCGGATCAACTTGAAATTTTCAGAGAATATATTCAAGATATTGATATTTTGAAAATTCTGACTACCCCTAACCCCTTAAGCTTTAAAGATACCAAATTCAGTAAAATACTCTTAAAGTAAAACCGATCTAAAATTTCAAGTGCCTTACTCATAAGTACTATCGCAGCAATTTTTGTAGGTAAGAATCCAATATAAGCAATTTTAGCTGCCACTTCTTGTGAGCGAAGAAAGTTGCAAGAAAATACACTTTTTTTCCGTTAGTTTTCGGCAAGTCCTATGCATATTTGCACTGGGACCACATATTTTTGACAGTTGTATTGTTTACTACATCTTGTTTAAGGCTTTAATTTTCCCTCAGCTTTTTACTATCAAAGTTTATTCACATAACACTACGATGCGCAGCTATAAATTAACCACCAATGATTTTTTATTTATGTTATGCAATTTTGCGCATTTTTTACTTTCTTTCATCTGCTAAGTTAAAAATGCGCGTGGCGTGAAAGACATCAAAAGTCGTTCGATGTTAACGTTGCTGTTTTCTCTTTGGCTCCTCTATTTTATGACTTCGTATACATGTGTTCACTAAACATTCCACAATAAAACATGTACCCTGCAAATTTGTATTCACAACTTTTTTGTTCAGCACTTGAGTTTAATAATTGTATGCGAAGATATATACAAATCAACTTTTTGTAAAAAATAAACACGAGTTCGCACGAAGATACTTAGGTACATACATATGTGTCTATGTTTATAATACCAAGTAAACGGCATTTATTTTCTCGCAAATGAAAGAAATATTTTTTTTTTCGAGTACGTGATTCCATTTGTTCACCATTCTAAGCGAACAAATTTATTTTTTCACAAATAAGTGGGAAAATGTCTTTTCACAGCCATTAGTTTGACACGCTCGTGTACATATTTACTTTGATGCAATTAATTTCGTAAAAAATTTGTTTGCTACACTTCGAATTGCGCATTAACGGCAAATAATGGTAAACTGTCCATAATTCTAAATTAGAGGGTGCCGCGGTAGAGCTTTGCCTGACTTAGCATAGACGTTGCAAAAAGTATGTAGGAAATATGTGATAATTTTGAAAATTTCTACAAAAACCGCCATCACATCTGATCAAAGTTGAGCCGGACTGATACATTTAAGGGGGTATTCTAGTTTAGAAGCCCGAAAACAAGATGATATGTTTCGTTATTTCCCTGTTTTTTTGCCGTTCGGAATTTTTAAAAAATAAAAAATTCCAAAAATCCTAGTCTTATAGTATATTGTATAAAGAAGCTCTGTTTAAAATTTCAAGTAAATCGATTGAATAGAACTTGAGAAATCATGCACACCGTTTCCAAAAAAAGTAGTTAAAAGAAAAACGACTTTAAAGCTCGCGCCGAGCTGCCAATCCACTATGTCGGCGCATCACAAAGTGAGCTGTAACAAAAATAATTGAAATTTCAACAAATCTTTTTAGGGACATATTCTTAAAGGGTTATACTACGATAATATTTACAAAACAAAAATTGTTTTTTTTTTTTTTTAATTTCTAAACCAGTTTTTTTTACCTAAATTGGTATAACCTTTTTTGTGATATTTACCATGGAAAAAATTTATCAACGCGTTTGATTGAAATTTTGTGTTTCCAATGTAATCACGGACACCAGTATTTGAGTGGCGCAAATCATTCAGTGAAGTTGGTGAAGTCATCGAAATCTTATGCACGTCTTATGCGCGTCATTAATCCACCTCTGTTAATGATGATAACATCGAAAAGATTAAAGAAACGGTGCTGGAAAATTGTCGTGTTGGCATCAGAGAGATAGCAGAGGATCTGAATGTATCGACTCAACACATTTCGGTAAACGTTTTCGGGATGAAGCATGTCAACTCGTACCTTAAAGGCCTGCATCTTTTGCACAAGCAACGTCGAGTAGAAATCGCAAAAAAGATGCTTGGCAATATAGCTGAATATACACATCATTACTGGTGACGAGACGTAGATTTATGAATATGTTTACGAAACTGTCCAACAATCTAGCTAATGGCGTTCCAAAAATGAGCCGAAACCGAAAAAACCAAAATTCGCTGGAGGCACAAACGACCATACCAGCCGACGCTGCTAACAAGTGTATGGAAAATTGGATTAAGCGTTGGCATGCTTGTATTGGCTCAGAAGCCTGTTTTGAGAGTGATAATAAAGATTTGTTTTAAATACGTGAAACATTTATTTTGCCGAGTAAAATTTGTTTAGATGGTATAAACACAGTGAAAGATTTTTCATAGTTGTATACCTTAGGTATTTAAAGTAAGATCACAGGGACTCAGCCTTACACCATGAATTGCAATATCCCGCTGTCTCTCCGTTCAAATCGCGTGCGTCTAAGTTCAAACCACTTTCGGAACACCCACTGTCTAAAGAATGCAATAATGAGTTTTCACTGAGACAACCAGTCAATCAAATGACATCAATGATGAATGGCCGCCGCTCCTAAAGTACGAGTTTATTACTTTTCTTTTGTGTCCCTTGCTTTCGCCGAGGCTGTCAGCAGCTGACTTGTTGCGTCGCGAATATAAATATTTACATATGTATGTGTGTACATATATGCACGTTTATGAAGTTTTCACATCTCGGCTCTCTATTTACCATAGACACCTACGAGTATTTCAGCGCCTTGCAAATGCAAAGCACGTTTTCCATTAGCGCCATTAAAGGGAAAACTGAAGCAATAAAACTTTTTCTAAACCGCTACTATAGAGTATTCTGAGGCGTGGTAGTATTTACCAAAAAATTCAACTGCATTTTCACCTCACATCTCATGTAGAGTCAATCTACGGTGGAACATAATTTCAAGAATTCGCAGCAACGCCGAACTAGTTGCAAACTAGTTAGTTTTGAAAAAAATTTAACCTTGAATATTTTAAGTTTTACTGACAGCCGATAAATAAAAAAGCATTTTTATTTATTTCCAATAAAGGAGCTTGAAAATCAGCTGATAGTGCAGATTTGCGGTCATAACTTTCTAACCATGGCTATGATGGCACTAAAAACGGTTTGGTACTTGCAAACATTAGCTAAGCAACTAGAAATATGTCAAAGTCGAAGCTTCGCCACAGTATGGTTACATAAAAAGTTCCATATGCATGCTCGGTTTTTAACAGGTCATCGATATTTTAATGACAGCTTTAAAAGCCGTTAGTTCGCATTGACTGTCAAAAGCATTGCGGTTTCATATTTTTTTCTGGCTTTAAATACTGCCACTGTTGCTGTTAAAAGCATAAGTGCACAGCGCTCAGATAACTGTAATGCAACCACGCAGTTTATTTTATTCGAAAAAAAATGCAAAAAAAAAAAATAAAATAAAATAAAAACATTACGTAAGTACTGCTGATGTTCTCGAGCATAGAAATTGCTTTGAAACCTCCGCCGTCGCACTCCGCTCAGCAGCGTCGGGCATAATATCTGATTACCGGGCGTGTTGACAAGTGCTTTGGCAGCCAACTGCGATTGAGTTGAACGTTAAAGAGCTTTTTGCATGCTTTCGATGCTATAAAATGCCACGCTAAGCGCATCTGCCGCCGTTCCTGCCACCGCCCTGCACGGCACGCCTCGGAACTCATTACACGCTTAATTCTATTATGATGCAATAAATATTCCGTATCTACAGCTAGCACTTCCACTCGCTTGCCGTCACAATTTGAAACGTGTCGCGCATGGTTGTGCTCCTCGGTGTCCCTCAAAGCGTGAAGCTGTATATTGATACACATATGAATATATATATTTAGTTGTGTTGCAGCATTTCCAGCATTTGTTCAGGCGTGATTACAAACGCACTAATATCGCTCCGTACTCAAAGTGCTTGACAAAGAGTTCCTCAAATTGCTATCTCATCGAAAAAGTCCCGTTGGTAATGCCCCTCACTCGGCTTAGTTTCGCCCTTCATGGACCACATATTACATTTTCCTGTAGCGCTGCGCTTGTGGCAAATTTCCAATGGCTATGGCACATGTGCATGCATTACAACAACAACGTATAACTTTCAACAATACATTTTTCATGCTCTTCATTTTTTCTCCATCAAACTTTTGAATTGAATTTGAGTGTGATCTATGTATGTACACATATCCATACATACATACATATGTATATGAATGATGGGAGTTATGCACAAATAAATACACCTATGGAAGTTTGCAAGTACCTATATATACATTAGGGTTTTCTTTGCTTACCCTGAGGGTAAATTTTTTAGGTTATAAAATCGAGAGACCCCCTCAGTTTTAAAGTAATTATCGAGTTACAATTTTTTTTAAGAGTTAAAATTTTTGATAAGTGTTTTAGGAGCTGTGGAGAGTTCTCTTTCTGGCCAATTAAAATTTATCAACATAAAAAATATTTTTGTGCTCATTATTGGAGTTTTAAAAAAAGTCTTAAACGACAACATGCTTTCCTTAAGCGTTAAAATAAATGTGTAGAGTTTAAACCAAAAAAATTTAACTCGATGTTAAAATGCCTCTAGATGTTAAAAAAAAATTTTCTTTTTTTTAAATTTATAAATTTTACTCCCAGGCTAAGAGAGTATTTTTTTTTCGCCCACCC